CAACTCGTCGGCTTCGGATGCTGCCTTGTTGTTGCGGCGTGGGCAGTCTGCGCAAGAAAACCTGGCTGACACTGGCAAGTAATCAAAAAAACAAGTCAACCAGTCCTAGTCCTAGCCTGTCTTACCTGCAGAAACACCTCAACAGCCACAACACTTGCCGAACAGCACCTGGAAACATCATGGGCTTGTCCGGATGGAGGCACTGGGTCTTCCCTGCGCAGGCCCCCTTCGTGGTAGCAACCTCCTCTCCGACGAACGCCGCCACAGCCATGGGCTCAGATCCCAACTCGTCGGCTTCGGATGCTGCCTTGCTGTTGCGGCGTGGGCAGTCTGCGCAAGAAAACCTGGCTGACACTGGCAAGTAATCAAAAAAACAAGTCAACCAGTCCTAGTCCTAGCCTATCTTGCCTGCAGAAACACCTCAGCAGCCACAACACTTGCCGAACATCACCTGGTAACATCATGGGCTTGTCCGGATGGAGGCACTGGGTCTTCCCTGCGCAGGCCCCCTTCGTGGTAGCAACCTCCTCTCCGACGAATGCTGCCACAGCCATGGGCTCAGATCCCAACTCGTCGGCTTCGGATGCTGCCTTGTTGTTGCGGCGTGGGCAGTCTGCGCAAGAAAACCTGGGACAGGCATTGGATGCTTTGATTGTGTCACAGTACAATTGACATCTTCTTATGGCAGTGCTTGCCAAGGAATCATATTCCTCACAAAAATTTCAGGTTTCCACTTGTCCACCCCTCAACTTTCCGCAGTTCCACAGCATTGAGAGCTCTTGACTAGCGGAGTCATGGGAACTCGAGTCGCGGTATTGCGGAGAAGTGGGAGCTCCAAGTCTGGAACGACTGCGCGAAACTAACTGGCCCAAAAACTAGGCCAATCCAAGCCATGTCTCTGTGAGCACACGTGGGCTCCATGTCCCAATTGTGCGCAGATGCAGTTCGTGTGATCTTGCAGGAGTCATAGATGAATGAATATGCACGAGCATAGACGCAGCTGCAAAGACTCCAGCAAGCAGATGTAGATATGTGTATATATATATATACATAAATGCATCTACATATCTGTACACATATATATATATATATATGAGACTCATATGCATACATACAGACGTGCTCATACATGCATGCGTGTATACATACATACATACATACATACATACATACATACATACATACATACATATATATGTGTGTGTGTGTGCGCGGGTGTGTGTGTATGTATGTATGCGAACAAGTGTAATATGAATCTATCGAAGCGGTTGGCATATATATATATATATAGACTCGTGATCGTAATCGTGGGTGGGTGAGTGCTGTCGAGAACAGGGCTGATGGCAAAACTCTCAGGGTTGGTTCCTGTTCCAATGTTGCGAAAGAGCAGGCAGAAGACAGGACTCCGTTGTCGTACTCATAAATGCGTGCTGTCGAGAAGAGAAGAACACTGACGGCAATATTTGCAGGCTTTTTTCTGTTCCTGTAATGCACAATAGAAGGCCTTAATTCAACACTTGGCTGCTACAAACATTAGATGCACGGGTTCCGGAGGGGGGAGGTGATGCTGCACTACGTCTCGTGGAGTCTCTGGCTTTTGGGTCTTGGGGCTGGGGGTTTGGGTTGGAATAACACATTAATGGTACATAGTTGCGTATAAACACTCAAAGTGCGGATTCACCGGGGGGGGGGGGGTAGCATGCATATATATATATATAAATACATAAACAAACCATGCCTAATGCACGAAAAACGCCTTCTTCGAAACCAGCCGAAAATCTCAATCTTGAGGGGCGGTTCCGATCGCAGCTGCAAGTGAACGTTCCGGGACAGTAGGACATGATTTGTGAAAATGCTGTCAGGGTCGCATGAGGATAATATCAAAAGAAACAAAACGACACGTTGATTCGACGAACATGTAGCTACAGTAATCTGCCGAGGTCACAGGCCTCCGGCGTCTTGGAGGGGTAACCAAACACCCTCTACCTAATCCTCCTCCTTGCAGTCTGATAGTTTCGTGACACTCGTTTTTAGCCCACAATTTCGACCCCCCGCTCCCCCCCCCCTTCCCACACGTCTTCTAACCAGTCAAACTTCTTCGCTCGGCCCAGCCCGACCCCCTCCTTCCCCGAATCCAACCCCATCCCCCCTCCCTTTCGGCAATCAGCGAAACTGAGTGGGTTGTGTCACAGTGCTGCTCCGTTAAAGGAGCTCAGGTACTGCTACTGCTTCTAATCAGTAAAGCTTCTTGGCTCGCTTGGGCTGTCCCCAACAATTAAACACACACACACACATACAAAATGAATCCGCCACTTCTTACCCACTACCTTCCTCCTCCCTGCAGCTTCCTACGCATCTCCCACCCCCTCTCCCGCCCCATCCACCCCTTCTCCAGCCCCCCAAAGCTGCAGCTACTAGACTAGTACTACTACTGCGATACTGCTCCTGCTACAACAACAACAACAACCACAAACTAGTACTACTACTTCTGCTTCTAGTCCTGCTGCTTCTGCTATTTCTACTGGTACTATTACTACTACGACGACGACGACGACTACTACTACTACTACTACCACCACTACTACTACTACTACTACTACTACTACTACTGCTACTACTACTGCTACTCCTACTCCTACTCCTACTCCTACTCCTACTCCTACTACTACTACTACTACTACTACCACTAAACGACTACTAAACTACGACTACGACTACGACTACGACTACGACTACGACTACGAC